AGTTTGCTTACCACGTCACCATCCTTCAATTCCCACGTCTCTTGGATCCCCACTACATCTAGATCGCGTTGTTTTCTTATTGTTGTTTTCTGTTTTCTGGCAGCCCGTTTCTGTCAATGGTGTTTTGGCTGTTGGCTATGTATCTGTGGCCTGGAAGTATTCGTTGTGCAAAATTCTTGGACACTGTGCAGAATCACTGCTGGTTGCACTGCTATCGATAATCATGGGGGGGGAATGTCTCACCATGATCCCCGCTGAAGTACAACAAGCATTGTTTTGGCGTTACGTGGGTTGATGTTTGATGTTTGGACTTTGCTTCTTCTTATTCCACAAGTATATTGCCTTGAAGGTCTTGATTTGCTTTTTCATTTTGGAGGATGTCCCGGCGGGGGGGCGATTGAATTTCGGTTCATGTTTAGGTCTCCGCAGTAAGTCTTAGGTTTTCCTTGATATGTTTCCGTACACATTTGGGTTTTACTTCATCGTTACTGTTCTGCATTTAGTTCTGCGTTTTTGAAAAGAGGATTTGATTCATCCTTGGCGGACATTCTTGAGGATACTGTACGCTGAAGGAAAACGAGTTTGGCATCGCAAGGTTCAGGGGAGGTCACAAAACTACGATATTGTGAGATTTAAGTGGATGGCATGATGAACGACTGTGGTGTGTTTGGCATTGACTTGATCGCCGTTTTACTTGGTGGTATTCGAACAGTTTCTTAGATCATAGCGAGAACCGAGTAGGGAGACTGTTTGGGGGTACTCAGCACTCGATACTGATCTACGGAGATGTAGGGGGTTTCGTGTATCATGGGGGTATGTGTTCGTAGAGGGGCGGTCCCCCTTTTGCTGTGCATGAGCTAGCATGCCCGGTGCACTCGTTAATATGCAAAGGTCCTGAGTAAACCTTGCTTCTCTGCGCTTCTGACAACAAGCTGCCCGCCTCCAAACACGATTTCTTCTTCTTGAACCCATCAAGACTTACCGTTTCCAATCTATCAACTTCGTCAAATTCGAACTCCTTCAATACGTCATCTACAATCATCTACAACCTTAACCCACTCTGTGGGTTGTTTACCCCTCTTCTTGGTTCCCACTTCGCCTCCCAAGCTGTTATGGGCAACTTCTCCTCTCTCATATCGTACATACGGTACTGCTTCAGTACAGGGGATGACCAGTTTCTGGTAGCAAGTTTTCCGCGTTTGCATCTCATGGTCGCGCTGACCGGGGCTCTGGTAGTATCCCTAGCTGTTATGGGCAACTTCTCCTCTCTCATATCGTACATACGGTACTGCTTCAGTACAGGGGATGACCAGTTTCTGGTAGCAAGTTTTCCGCGTTTGCATCTCATGGTCGCGCTGACCGGGGCTCTGGTAGTATCCCTGCTCTTCCTTCCAACGCAACGAGGCTGTCCATACAATTTATTGGCGAACAAGGTGATCAGTGTCATGAACAAGCCGAATGAAGGCCACGCCATAGAACGACCACGCCGCAACGAGCCTTGTTGGTAGAATCATGTCTTGTGCAGCTGAAAATGGCTGGACGAGAATGGCTGCGTCAGGTTACGGTTTTGTGCTACGCGCCGACGTCTGTGGAGTCTGTTATGCCTTGACCTTGTCGAGCGGCAGAACAACCAGATGAGAGAACCAAAATATGCGTTTATCTTACCATCTCAGGGTGGTGTTCTGAGTGTTAGGACGGATGCATTCTGCCTCGATGGCGTTGTTCGATTATCTGTGGCCCGCCGGCGGTTCATTTCGATTATTCCTACGTGGAAAAGTGATGCAATTCCCTTGGAATGCAAGAAACCTCTAGCTTGTAGGTGACTTTTGCAACACACACCATCGTGGGGTGGAACAGACAAAAACAACTATGAACGAGGACTGGCGAACACGCGCAGCAGGAGGTGAAAAGTTTTGGCGGGGGGGCGGCGGTAACGGAGAGGCAACGGCGGTTGGAGTTGTTTTGGGGAAAGGCCTCACCGCGTCTACCGTTCGTTGCGAGACAGCATATAGATCCACGTACATGAGGCGTTATGTTTGAGTCGATGATCGAGACGTCGGCAAATGACAACACGACGAGCATGTGGCGTTGCTTAACACACTTATTTTCCAAACACTCTTTTGCACGAGGCAGTGCAGAATCGCTCACGAGACCTTATTGTGGAGCCGGGGGCGTTTCGCACATCATGTACGTCAGGTATACATGTCCTAAGTCCATAGACGCACTTGGCGGGGCCGGGGAAGAGCTAGGCGCCTGAACAAATGCACCTTCCCCCCTTGTTCTGGGGTGTTTCTTGTCAACGCCCTTCCTTTTTGGGTATCAGCGAAGGATCGAAGGTGATTACCCTTCGTTTTATCCCGGATGAAAATTAGGCATGTTTCGCTTCAGGAGGCATTAGGCTAGTTTATTCGTATACTTTTCGGCCGACTCGAAAGGGCTTGGCTTTGCTAGTACCTGGCAGGGGGCACCGAGGCTCATGCAAGGCGTGTATCTACCTTGCGTGATGGCAGCTTAACTACTAGTGGGATAACCCCAAACGTGTTCATCGGCGGCCACGAGACATCCTAAAGCTTCACACCCGTTCATCGTCTGTGGTTCGTGTCGTCGTGCACAATTGTTACTCGAGAGATCCTACGACTGCTGTCTTCAGTTACACAACACAAACTTCACACATCGCCTGGGCTGACCAAAAACGTGAACACGAAATATGAGATCGAAAGGAACCTCTCCCCACATGTGAACAAGCCCGAAACGCTTTCAATCACACCATAAACGGCCAGTAAAGACTGGTGCTGCTCACCGCTTTTTTCGCGTCAGGACTTTCCACGTCGCCGATCCTTACTTCTAAGATCACCAAACTGAACACTAGCCAGAGGCTTGCCGCCTTTCCCGCCAGTGGCCGCAGCTGGAGCGGCGTTCCACATTTTCGCCGCCTTTCGGCTTCCAGCGAGCCGCACGAGCCATGCGCCGTTGCCGATCGGCGCGTCGAGATCGAGTGGCAACGGCCCCGCTCGTCCTGCTGAATTCGTAGGTGCCAAGGACGCTTCCGCGCCAACCAACTCCCCGGCTAGAATTCCTTCCTTTTTTTCCACCGCAAACAAATCTCGGGCGCTCGAGTTCCTTCTCATCAAGCGGCAGGTTCGTAGCGTTGCAACCGGAGCGCCGTCTCCGCACCACCCTGAGCTCTGCAGCGTGAGGAAGTCTCCTACAGGAAACACTAGAGTCGGAGGGTCGAGGCCTATTGCCGTTGACGCTGCTGCCAGAATTCCGGTTCCTCCGCAAACGTCGAATGCTGCCCGTGCGTTTGTGATCTCCTTCTTGTCCATGAGTGATTGAAAAGCAGGGTGTATCTGCAAAGTATCGTTCGAAATTACCATTTAGTTCGGTACAAATGGCTATTAAGGTCCTTGCAGCTATTGTTTTCTTGAGCGACATTCCTGCGGTTGTGGGGCTTCGGTTAGGTATTCAGCCAGGGCGAAAGAGCAACGTCTCCGTGCCCCACGTTGCGACGCTGCCTTGGGGCCCGGAACGGCTAGAACAACCGCAGTCCCGTGAACGAAAGAGCTGAGGCGCATTTGCAACCACGAAACAGAATGTTCAGCATGTGCTTCTGTCGCACTGAAAAAAAATGTGGCACCTCCTGCACACGGAAATCACACAGCGAGAGGAAACTAAAACGCAAGTCCGCCTCCCAAGGACACGACAGAGAAAGGGAGAGAGAGTCGACAAGAAAGCATAATAGGCCGATTCACGACGCGTAAACCCACCCGAAATTGAGAATCTCCGCGCCGATAAGATACCCTACCGCCCTCGCTCTCTTGTTCGCGCAGCCAAAGCTCTGTTCGGGGGCTTATTGCCACAACCGGCACGCCCTCGAGGGCCATCTCGTCCTTCACCGACTGGAGAAAGGCCTTCATTGCCGACGATTGCGACGGACCGCCGTCCCACTCAACATCGAAGCTCACGGCCACCGCCAACGGTACCTGGCCACCTCCAAGGCGCTCCCGAACGCGCGACACCGCGGCCTTGACGGGGGTCACCCCTCCGCGGTTGGGTCGTGGGTACCCCTTATGAAACGAGATCTCGGCACCAACAACCATCAGCACCGCCGGTGTCGCCTCATCGGCACCCTGCCTAGCTGCGTCAGCAACAGCTTGCTCACAGCGGTCACCGTCGCTCTTCTTGCTTTCCTCGCCGAGCACGCTAGCCACCGATGCGTGGTTCAGCTGTGCCGGGAGGAGACGTTCGCCACTCGGTGCAAACCCGTGTTCGGGGGCATGGGCGAGATCGGCTTCTCTAGGCGCGAGTGGTGAGGTCCACCATACTTCCGCATCTGACGCCGTATCCGGGAGAAGCTTGTCGGAAGAGGACGCTGCTTTCAAAAAGAGAGACTTGCAAGTAGAATTGCGGCCGATCAGAGCAACGCGGACGCCAAGCGTCGAGTCCACCATTATCTTCGGCCTAACGATGCCTGTGGATCTTCCTCCAGTTTCGCATGTGGAAGAACGCCAGTACGTAGTGCAAATCAACGGAGGATGGGGGGCGTAGGAGCAAGAAAGCAAGGGAAACGATCCGTGGAGATTTGCTAGGGAGCAGCACGAACGAGGTTGGGGTTTTCCGTCCACTGCTTCAACGCTCGGATGCTGCCATCGGCCCACATAAATGTCTAGCACGCGGGGTATACATAACTCAGGAAAGAAGGCGAACACGTGTTTGGAAGTTCTAGTAAGCTTGCAGTAGCGGTAGAGGTCCTATCAGCGTTGGAAAAGTCAAGACATGACGCAGCGGCAACGCACCATACATTGTGCTCGAGGAGCACTTTTTCGGGTTGTGAGGGGGGGAAGCAAATGCACGCCCAAGCAGCAGCGAGGACCGGGTGGTGTTGGGTTGACATGACTTGTGTTCTGCAGAACCGACCGCTGCCAACCTGCGCTTTTGAAGGCCAGGTACGTTGGTACAGGAGTAGTAGGAGCTAACGCTTCGTGTTTCAAAGAGGAGCATCTGTCCCTTGGGCACAACGGTGCAGCGGCTAGACACATGTGGGATATTTGCAGGCAGAATGTCCTAGCTGGAAGTCTCTGGAAAACTTGAGAAGGACACCATTCTTCCCCTCTCCACTCCCGACGCTCTTCATTTGTGTAGGTCTGATTGACTACTTTTCTTACAGCAGTAGACTAGTCTACGCTAAAGGCTGTAGAAAGGATGCAGGTTTGCGGTGTAAAATGCATACCATCTACTGCACGCGACGCTACGTGCAGCAGACCTGTGGTCCTGAGCGACTCGGGCACCCCTTGCAGATAGACGCGCTGCCGACTGCGCCACCGGCTCCACACAAAAGAGTGGTCAGTGTGAGCGAGATGATGGCAGTCAGGGACACTGGTCCTGTTCATGGAGAGTTAACAAAAGAGGACCATGGGAGCAGGTCTCCGGCCGAGTTTGACCAATTAAAATTCGCTACAGGGTTCTTAATTGAACGCCTACTCTCATTTCCTGCATATATGACCCCCGTTTTGCAGCTCATTTGTGTTGTTGGCAGGTCTTCCCCCAGTTACGTCCATCTACATCCTCCGCGCAAGAGGCACCCGTGCTCTCTCGGTCATGTGAAACATACGCATGCGGTCGTTGTCGCCGAGACATCCGGCACCAATTGCTGCACGCCGAACGTGTACTTATTGATGCTCACCCACCCACCCATGGTTTTTTTGCGCGTATGGCAATCGTTCAACGTAAACGCACTGCATACTGCTAGTAAGTGTGACTTAGGCTACTAACTACACGAACGGTTTACTCACGCATGCAACCCCGTACCGTACCGCTGTAATGGTCGAGTATTTCTGTGTTTTCACGAAGATACACAACAACGGCAGGTTGTGAGGTCGACATGAAAACTTGATCGTTGATGCTGTGAGGGGGGGGGAGAGGCTTATATTATCGCCGCCGTGTCACCCGGCAACCAACACTGAATCGGTAGGCACTCGCCTGTTCTTGCGAGTCGGACGACATTTTTTTCCGGAGACGCAGAATATTCAGTCGAGTGTTTCTTTTGTTGCACGTACACGGCGGTAGTTCACTTTTAGCGAAGGAAACAGGGAGTAGACTACTCTCAAGCCAGCACGAGTTTCCTTGCCCTCAGCTACGGAGACAACATCATGTGATCTGCAGACATCCTCTGCGGCCTTTGATCACAAGGAACACCAAGGAGAGCCACGTCGACGGATAGGCTGTCACAAGTAGGAAAGACACCTGTTCCCCGGGATCAAGAACACGCGAAGGCGTTCTAATCGCTCGGGGTGGAGGTTGGCTTGAAATGAATGGTAAGACACAGAACTTTGACTCGGCCTGCAAGACTGAGGGATTTGCTGGGGGGTGACCCATCAACCCTCGCAACATTCGACACCAACAAGCGGCTACCACACGCGTGTGGTGTTTAGCAGCGAGGGTGAGCACCACTCCTCGACCGCCTTAACAAGACAGCAGATGCGACGGACAAAGTTATCCGTGTCAACTGCAGACTCGGGACAAATCTATCTAACCCGCTTGCCCGCACGTTTCCCCCAACACAAGACAAAAAAGAAAGAAAATCAGGAAAAGAGGCCATTGTTTTAAAAGGATTACGCAGTATTGGCTGCGACCGTCACACATGTGACCACCACGCCCTTAACGAGAGAGTACAACTAGCCCGCGCAAACACCTCTTGGCTGAGACAAGGCCGCCATCGACAGGACACAGTTTTCTCGCCCATAAGCCCTCGCGTGCATGGGTGTAAAGTGCAATGCGCTGCTCAACTTCTCGGTCAGTCAGGCAAACGGTTCAACGAAACGCCTAGTCCTCCCCTGCGAACGGCTGCACCAAAACGCCGGCTAAATTGGCTTTCATCACGCGAAACAAGGCATCTTCACGCCGCCGCTACGATAGAAACGTTGAGCCCGCAGAAAATTCAAAAGGCGCCCTGGCCGTCGCCGAACGGGCTGATGTGTCCCGACGAGAGCTGTTCGATTACGGTTTGGCCGGTGAGCTTCTCCTGCACCATCTCGCCTAAGAAAAAAAAAATCACGGAAGAAATGACACAAATTAGCTCATCGGTGGCTCAAGACAAGGCGACAGTGTGCTTGGGCGCACAACTTACCGCAGTCGTGTTTGCACGTCCGATTCTTTTTCGTCAAGGGCGTCATATTATGAACAGACTTCGAGCAACGAGGCGAGCGCCAGATACACAATTTTTTTGGTAAAAGCTTGGGGCTCCACCGTTAACAACTCTGGTCGTCTACGCAATGTACAAGGAGTAAACAAGCGTCGTGTATTCTTGTGTTGATGCTGCATACGTGCACGTGGTGCCTCCTTCAGAGAAGAGAAAAGCTGCCCCTGGGGGACAATCACGGGAATATTGCACGTGCTATAGCACCACATAGATGGATATGACCCCTTCAAGAGATGGACAACACGCATGTTGTAACAGCAAGACACAATAACCCGAGAACTGTTGTTGGAATTACGCCAACCCGCCTTACGAATATCCAAGTCTAAGTTTTGTGTGTTGGGGAGGCAAGTTCCACGTCAGCTTTGGAGAATTCGCCATGATGCAGGTGGCGTCGTGTTACTCGACGACACACTTCACGACAGCAGCGCGTGCTACACAAGACCGTCACAAGATTGACAGAACTATATTTACACTTTCCATCCGCAAGAAAACAGACACGCCGTTTCAGCCCCAGTTCCCAATAAACGTGCGTCTGGTCGCGGAAACAAAATCGTTGCTGGAGTTTTTCAAGCGAGGCGATCTCTTACTGCATTAACACGGCAATAATCGCTCAAGTCTACAACGCTGCGTCTTTTGGACCCAACGCGCGCCCCACGGTCAACTGTCAAACGGCCAACATTGAATGTTCCCAGTTTTTGTCGAGTTCATTCGCAACTTGCAGGAGGGTTTTCGATATCGTGGACTCGTCTTGCGACCATATGCACATGACGCCCAGTCAACACTTCCGCATGAATACGAGCTGCAGCAGGCCGTCTTGTTGACGATGGACACTGTGGTACCCTGAGCGAGTGAGAGAGCCACTCGACGAGGACAATGATGATGACGACCTCGACAACTTACCCATGATTGCGAGCATCGCAAGGCGCCCGTTCTTGAGCTCCTTAAGCTGAAGCTTGGAGAAAGCGACCGGGTTGTCGGGGTAGGGGTTCCATGCCTGACCGAAGTTGCCGAGCTCTCCCGGCGCCTGCGAAAGCAGACATTTAGCGAGGGGGATGTCGCACAAGACACGGGGAAAGGAAGGAGTAAGTACGCGGCGCGTTCACCATCACACCTGCGGAAGCCGAGTGTGAGCGTCATCGGTGACAGAGAAACGTCGTCAACATACCTTGAACCCTACGGAGAATCGTATCCGGGGTTGTCGACTGGACCAAGAAAGACCCTCTCAAATGGACTAGCATGGAACAAAACTGTAAGAAAGGAGTGTACAGCAGTTGGTCGCTCTTGAAGGCATTTGCATCAAAGTTGTGCGTTATATTTGCCAAACCGCCACGCACCATAACACCAGCAGCAACATCAACACACTTCACAAACCAAGTGCACCTTGTTTTCGTAATCCTGCTTGCCCACAGTCAGCTCCACAACGGCGATCGCTCCCAAAATCTGAACCCATGCTGCCAACGGGAGCTCTCCGAGGGCCTTCAAGCCCGGGGACAGCTTACCGTCGTACCTGACAAGACAGCGGCACGGAAGGGAGAGGGAGAGCGAAAACGTGAACAACACAATCAGCAAACCTTTCAAGGGTGCGGACTTCATCGTTCGTGTCCGACGCCCTCGAAGACCACTTGTTCACATGCATCGACGATACCGTCACGCACGATTTGTAAAGCGCATGCGCATGTTGCCGATGAATCGAAAAACCGATGGCGTGCTTTGAGGTGAGGCTTTCTCGCTTAAGAATTTTCGAATGTACTACTGCTGTGGCCGGAAAGTGTGAATGTTTAGGACCAGAAAATACGTGCAATATAACAAAAAATACTGAAGCACATGGGGAGAAGAATTGTGTTGAGAGAGAGCATTGGCAGGGCAAAGCTAAAGGACAACATTGGCAAACGTTTGCTGCTATTCTAACATCACAGCTGCCCTGACTTTGCGATGGGCAATGAAAACAGTGAAACGATACGATAGAGCGGCCGTGTGGCACGTTCCTCATTGGCGGACGAGAACCTCTTGCTGGAAAAGACATCGGCGCAACCTTCGCAGAATCGCGCACGACTTTGAGCTGCGGTCAACGTCGGCACCAACAGTATGGAAGTGCGGTGATCATGTTTCGTTTCGGCTGAAGCACATCGGCCTATTTCTCTACCTCTGCCATTGAACCGAAACACCAGCGAGGCTCTTCATGCACATACAAGGTAAATATTGGCCAACTTTCGAGGCAGCCGAAGTTGTAGGGAGACAACTGTCAGTACAATAAGGGAGAAAGGGCTCGAGTAAAATTTCCACGCATAACGCACACCATTCCTTCACGACATCATGCATGCCAATCATGTGTGAACACGCAAGTCTTCGATTCGTATCGCCGTGACCGTCTTGCTCCTCCCTGTCTCCCCCAACATACCGAATGCGCCTGAGAAGAGCGGCCAAAACACGGTACCACCAACTTACAGGGGGTGCCACTGCTCCGCGAAGAGGTAGCCCGTGACGGCCAACATAGCGACACGTCCGTGCTTGAGCTCCACCGCCCGGCGCCTGAAGAGCGATGCATCGTCCTTGCCGAACCCGAGGGGGTCAAACACACCGTCCGTCTCAACATCCGCGCCCAGCATGTCGTTCACCGCCATCTTGGTCATGGTGGCTGGATGATGTCGATTTCGCGGAGACGCATAAATATGTGCATGCATGCATCGGTCAAACCCCGTTGTTGTGAGCCCAAGACGATTCAGTTCGACTGCTGGATTTTTCATCTGAAAACGATCGATAGATCCACCCCTCTGCATGTACGCACCACATCAGGAAGAACTGAAGTACGCCTATCCGCGAATGGGACACGACTGAGTTCGTGCCAGTTGTGTCCAACGACACCGAGGATGATGCTACACAGCGAAAGAGATGAGGGAGTGAAGCCAGAGATAGAAGAGGGTCATTTCAGCGGGGGAAGGGGACCCTCAGATGTGTGCAGATGCGTGATTTCTTGGTTTTCGCGGGACTCGTTTGTGACGGCATGTATCACAGGTTCATATCCTTCTCACGCACGGACTTCCAACAGCAGAAAGAAGAGACGGCCGATGGACGTATGCTACGATCGTGCACTAGGAAAACAACTTGATCTCTTGAGTCCGCATCTGGGGGTAATTGTTGCTGATCTTCATGATCCCGACATCAGTCAACTTGAGTCAGAGGTCAGATAGGCATGTTTCACCACGTACACACACCTTTTGGGACCAACGGCAGCTCCTCTTCAATCTTCACACTACAGCAGCACAAGCAGGAGTAACAGATAAACTCTCAGTGTGACGAACGCGCACGAGGGCACTTGGAAACCGGCATCGCGAGACCGCGAAATATGACAGTCGCTGCTAGGGCAACACTTTTATGCGATGCTGCTGTGAGATAGAGAGAGGCTTACCAGATGTCGCCTGCTGGGGCCGCGCGATTTGAGAACCGTGGAACGCGGACGGCGCCACGAACGCCGTCGTGGTCGCGAGGGTGAGAGCCAAGGCACCGATCTCCATCTTCATGATTGCTAGAGGTTGGTGATGTGAGTGTGTATCTCTTGGGTTGGATGAAGCAGCGAGGGCGATAGAGAGGGCGAAGCGAAGACACCGCGAATTTCAGCCAAATCCAAGCCTCAAGCGTACCTTTCTTCAGCGATTGGCCAAGCCAGTTGCCGTCGGTAATTTTGGGGGGCCCGCAGCTGGCGCTAGTTCGATCTCCCGCTCTCTCTCCGGCCTCGTTGATCGACCGGAAGAGATCGCTCACACAAGCCCTTAGTAACTCTCCCCATCTCTTCTCTCAACCCGTTACGAAGATGAAGTCCGCTGTGATGGCCGCCGCATGTGTATCGTCAGCGTCTGCCTTTGTGGCACCGTCGCTTGTGTCGTCGCGCGTGGCGTCTACCGCGCCCAAGACCACCATGATGGGTGAGTTTCGTCATGTCTACAACCGGTCGTGGGGCGAAGTCCGCCAGCCTTCCAGTTTGCATGCACCTGTTTCACAGTTGACTTTGGGTGCTGGTGCTGACATGATTACCACGGCCCCTTCTATGTACTATCTCCTTTATCCTGCTTCCTTTCGTTTCCAAGCGATGCCTCTGAATGTCCAGATGTTGTTGCATGTAAGGCATTTCCTATCCTTGGTGTTGTTGACCCTGGGCTGCTTGAAGGGAGGGGTGCTGACTCAAGGTACGGCTGTAGACACTGGCGTTGACAGTAACTTGAGGGCACCAGTTGGCGGCCTTAGCAGAGTCGTGTTCAGAAGTGACACGCTGCGTCGAACCCCATCAGTACCTCCCATCTCTTATTTCCTATCTGGGAACGCTGCTTTCGAGTTGAGAGTCCCAAAGAACACACGCAAGACAACGTCACGAAAAAGTTGTACTTCACGTCGCAATTACTTTTCTAAATCGGCGAATCAACGTCATATTGAACGGGATGGGATCACGTGGCTCATGTAAAATTCAAGCTACAAGCTACCCAAGGAAGAAACGGAATTAGAGTTAAAGAGGAGAAAGCCCTGCTGCACGCACGTGTGTGACTACGTACATTCCCTTTGCGAGCTTGATCGGTCGATGCTACTCTCGCGATGTGTTGCACACGGCAGTCATTGTAGCTCCCCCTTCACCGACAAAAAATGTTCGATGTTTTTTTGCACAAATGATAGTTACGTGGCGGGGGACACAGCGAAAACTCGTGGCGGGGGTTGGGGCGGCGGCAAGCATACTCTCGCACTGGAGATGATCAAGGTCGGCACCGAATTTGGTGATATCGTTACCCCTGCGACATCAGTTGCGCGTTGTATCTAACAGTAATTCGATAGTCCTGACGGAGAGAAAGGAGAGCGAAGCACGCGTTCAAATGCTTTTTCTCGAACAGGAGTACAGGGTCGAGTTATGGTCGTACTACCTGTTGTGTGTCATGTCCGCATTGGGTACGACATGGTTCTAGACCCCACACATGGTCATACATGGTCCTTGACGTGGCGCGGAAAGTATCCCGCCGCACGGGTGGTGAGGAATTGTCTCAGTAAATCTACACTTGCTGGGCCCACACAAGCAACAGCAGACCTCGTGATGATAGTCTTGAGAACATGCGCACTCAAGCAACTCCTTGTTGCTGTTGTCTTTGGGTTTTCGGCGAAAGCCCATTTCTCGCCGTTACACGCATTCCCGTCGGTTGAAACATTTCGAGCTCTTGTTTGTTGTTGCAGTGAGATTCCAATTCCTTGGCCACTTGGCCTTCCATTGCCCCTCGACGACGGTTCAAACGGACGCCGACCCCATGCCCTCCAAAATGTATGCTTGAGAGAGTGTACATCGAAGGGAACTCCGGCAATTGTTGGTGTGCGATAGTGCGTTATTAACCCTTGAGTTGGGACCACAAGCATTGCCCTGTCTCGAAATGGACGCGTGGCCGACAGCAATCCAGTGAAAAATGCCCTCTGCACGCCCAAAACTCGTGCACGGGACACATAGATATCCTGGAAGCCCTTTTGAAATCATGCAGCCCACTCATCCTACCCCCGCCGCTTTTTCTCTTCTTCGCCCTCGTTCGTTGCAGCCGAGGTACCAGGATCGTGGTGGACTCCGTCCGACGGAACCAAGTCCGTGGCCCTCCCGTGGGCGGACAAGCCGATTATCGGCGACGGAGACATGGTGGGCGACGCTGGTTTTGACCCGCTCAACTTGGCGAACGGACCCGCGGACCTAGTCTGGCTCCGGACAGCAGAGCTCAAGCACGGCCGCATCTGCATGCTGGCGTGCGTGGGCATGGTTGCCCCCGAGCTCGTCCAGAACCCCGTGGGCTTCTCCGGGTTCGAGTTCGCGCCCGAGTTCACGCAGATGAACGCGTTCGCCGCGCTGTCCTCCGTACCCCGGCTGGGCCTCGCGCAGATCGTCATCTTGTGCTCGCTCATCGAGGTGGCCTCCTTCACGGGAAACCTCACCGAGAAGTACTTGTACGAGGACGACTTGACCAAGCTGGAGCTCAAGAACAAGGCGCTCGGCAAGACCGACTTCCTCGCGGGCGCGGCTAAGATCGCCCCCGTGACGGAGAACAAGGAGCAAGTCTTCGTGGACACTGTCATCCCCGGGGACCTCGGCTTCGACCCCCTCGGCCTCGCGGCCAACGGCGTCAACCCCGACTACGCCCTGGCGGAGATCAAGCACGCCCGTCTCGCAATGATCGGATTCCTCGGCATGGCTGTGCAGCAGGCCGTCGACCCCAACGGTGGTGTGCTCGAGCAGTTCATGAACTGGGCATCGTAGACACCTGGCGATGTTTTTTTTTTTCGTTCTTGTTTCGGCGCTGTAGAGGCTAGGCTGGCAAGATATTTTTAGGGGTTCGGGGAGAGCATCAAGACGTGAAACCTGGCGCGGGCCCTCGCATGTTCTTGGCTTGCGATCGTGTCGTTCCACCGTCAGGCGTCTGAACCGCTTTTTTGCCACGTGACAGACCGTAGATTATTGGTTTCTGGCGAGCTTATTAAAGACTTGCTCGGGCGAGGCTACTTTTGACCTGTAGACAAGAAAAACGGCCAGGACAAGCGTGCATTTCTCCGCGCATCTCATTTTCTCTCCGATTCGTGTTAATGCGCAACCGTTGCTAAGCAAGGGTGTCGGTTGCCGATTTGTCGAATGTGGGGAAACCAGTAGCTGCGCGCTTGCTTGTCGGCCGAGCCTCCACTGGAAGATACGTCGTGTCGTGTGCATGCAAAACGGGAGGGAGTTAAGTTACCTTGGACTCCCACTGTTTTTTGCTTTCGCCTTCATGATGCTCCTCTGTCTGTTTTTGTATCGGTTCTCCTGTTTAGTGGCCAGAGCCTTGCCAGCTTAGATGATGGCTCACTGTGTGTTCTTCTGTGACGATGATGAGATGAAAACTAAATGAAGAAATGCGAAACGGGTTTTTAGTTGGCTCGCTTGCCAGTCACCGGCCCAAGATGTATCTTGCAGCTCTCGCCGAGTGGAGACTGAAACGATTCGAAACGTCTCTAAAAAGACGCCACATCCTGTGCGACTGTTGTATTGTCGTACGGGTAGTCGAGCTGTGACTGCTGTATGTATCCACCACCTTCGACGTACCACATGTCTCAGTGGACCATGAACAAGTTGCGCCTTTTTCCTGCGAAATCACAGCAGCACAATGTAGCAGTCCGTTTCTTGGTGTGCGGGCGCCAACTCTGGGCTATATACTCAGCGTTTGTCGTTCAGTTTCTTATTCCAAGTTTCTTATTCGCTCGTGCAGCCAAATCCTGCTGAATTTCTGAAATCAGCAATTTCTTATTTTTCTGCTTGCATACTACACAACGTTCCAAATATACATGGTCTATATATGCACTGCTTTCCTCAACCCCCGTACTCAACCCCGATTCTCACTACCGACGGCTGCACGTAAGGCCACACTCCCTAGAAGCGAAATGTATCCAGCGGCAACGTCTTGCTATCGCTACAAGGTATTGTACCCCCCTCATGAGTGAGGGCTGAAACTAAACAAATGCATTAACACCGCATGGTGCCTCACCCGCACGCTGACGTGCCAACAACGAAAACTACCCCGTCACTATGTTGCAAGCTCCGTGAGGCGAACATTGGGGTAGTCACCCTTTTGCGCCTCCTGCTCCCTTCCTTTGGGTCTGTCTACCTCTAGGAGAACCCACGCCCCAATTGCGACGTCGTCATCCGTGCTGTACGACTCCAACGGCATCTTCATCATGCTAAATTTACACGTGCTTTCGTCACAGTGCAGGATGACGCAGTAGTCGTACTCCTGCCACGAAGCGGGGTGAGAACTGCGACTAATTACCCCTCCGAACCAACCCAACCCGAGTTTCACGAGAACCCCACGCTTCACTATGGGAGGGGGGGAGAGGGGGAGAGGGGGAAAGAGCGAGAGAGCTGTGGGGTTTGTTTCTTATTCGACACACTCCCCCGTAAACCCTCGTTTCTTATGTAGTAGCGCAGCGGTCGCCGCTGTGTTTCTTATTGAGACATTTCTTATTGTTTGACCCAGGTTGAGCTATGTTTCTTGACCCTATTTTCTTATTTTTCGTGAAAAAGTGAGCCTCAATTTCTTAACAAAATATTTCTTAACTGCGGGCGCCAACTAATAACTGTAGTCTTCTTGGAGAAGACAAGGTTTCGGGGGACGATCACTCCCAGCGTAGACTCTTTGTCTTTGTCGAGCATCCGAAGAAACGCTGACTTGCACCATCAATGCAATGGTTGGTGTGCATTGATGGAGGCACACGATATTTCATGAGTGACGCCGTGCATCGGTGTGGTGCGTTTTCTCACGTAGCGAATCTTAGAGCCAGTCTAGTCTACATGAATACCTCGAATGGGTAGTCGCTCTGTGTGTAAGTTTAGTCTTATGTTGTAAGGCACCACTATCGTCATCATCAGCTGGCGCAGGAGACAGGATGCCACTCCTGTTTTTGTTGGTTTTGTCCACCCAGTGATTCACCTCCCCCATGCTTGCCTTGAACTTTACCACGAGAAGGGATGCTGTTGCTTCCCCTCTCGACTTTGCGCTCTCCACCTCTATGTCTAGCTACATACGTGTTGGGAAAAATACATACACACAAGAGACTGAAGTGAGAAATGAACCACCTGA